AGATGTGAAGATGCTTGATGTCAGGATCATGAAGCTGAGATAGAAAACCTAGAAACAGGAAGAATGAATGGACAGTTAGATGAAGAGCAGCTGGGAGAGGGAATGCTTTATTCCACTTGCCCACCACTGTTCATGAAGAAATGTAATTGGGGGTTGAAAAGTGATAGGAGTTAAGAATGTTACTTTTAGTTTTGGTTTTAAGTCTGGTGTTCTTTAATTGTTGGTTTGCTTTTTTCCAGTGGAAAAAGCTTGCATGTCTTGTTGAAAATAAAAGTAACTAAGAAAAGGGCTAGGTCTTGGTCTTTATGTATTTCCTAGGGCTGTAAGTCTTGAGCTTCCTTTAACCTAGTTTTCAACTCTGATTTTGTACTTTAAAGAAATTCTGGAGAACTAGTTAAAAAGCTTTTTATGAACAAAAACATTGCCATTAAATGGCTTTTTTCTTCCAAAAAGAATAAAGAAACACTTATGTCCCGTATCTCAAAAGCAGCATGTCTAATTAACCTCAAACTTCCTAAAAATATTCTCCTTTGTCTTGAAACCAAACATGAAACATCCTCCTGTTCCCCACCCTACCTCGAACAGAAGGAGTAAAAGGGTTCAAAATTGAGCTTATAATAGAAACCACTGTAGCAGCCTTAACTGGGGAATCATGATTGTCTGCATAATAAAGCTGCCTAATACATATTTTATTCAGTGTAATATCTGTTATCCTATAAATAGAAGAATGCTATGAATATTATGCTTGGGAATATTGTTTGCCACTTGTAATTGTTAAATGCTTTTTTTGGGGTTACTCCAAGCAGTTGTTCTTTTGACTTGAAGATAAAACAATTCTGGCAGAGCACTAAAGGAGTTTCGTGCTTTCCCTCATTAAGAATAGTGCTAATGGCACGCAGGACGTTTCCCCAAAGGACACTTGCATGAGCTCAAACACTGAGTATAGCACTAATTGAACAACAACAAAAACTGATGACTGTTTTCTACACGTTTCTTAACAGTACAGATTGTCCCAGGGGATGATTAAACAAGCAAACAAAGAGATACTGAAATAATGAAGTCTTTTTTTAATGCAGAGCTCTTCATTTGTTATGTTAGAATGTTCTGCTTTGTTGATGTTTTTAAAGCTTTACTTTTTGTAATATAGAATTCCTGCTCCTTTGGCCTGCTTTGCAGTGTATACCTTATATATCCTGTGAGGAAATATGTACTCTTTCTTTAAAATTGTTGAGAGACACTATGCAAAAAAAGGACTGAATAAGATTGTATGGATTTTTGAAAGGAAGGAAGGAAGAACATTTTCTGGATTTTTTTATTTGTATATACATATGTGTTTAAGTATTTTTATATGTATGTTTAACTCTCAGCTACTGAGGGAAATATCAACAGTATACAAAAAAGTTCTGTATGGAACTTCATGACAAGAAAGAAGTGCTCTGCAACATGTGTGGGGTCCTACACTTCTGCTACACCAACCCCACGCAGTGCTGCAGGCTGGGGGAAGGGCAACTGGAAAACTGCCTGCTGGAAAAGGACCTGGGGTTTCTGGTCTGCAGCAGCTGAACATTATTCTCCAGTACCTGCCCAGGTGACCAAGAAAGCCAGTGGCATTCTGGCCTCTATCACCAACAGTGTGACCAACAGGATCAGAGCAGTGTTTGTTGTATTTGCTGTATTCAGCACTGGCTGCACCTCAAGTTCTGTGTCCAGTTTTGGACCCATCACTAGAACTTTGGACACTGAGGTTCTGGAACGTGTCCAGAGAGGGGCGATGGAAGAAGTGAAGGGTTTGGAGCACAGATCTGCTGAGGAGTGGCTGACAGAGCTAGAGATTTAGCCTGGAGAAGAGTAGACTCAGGAAGGACCTCGTTGCACTTTACAACTGCCTGAAAGGCAAGTGTAACCAGGTTGGTGTGCTCTCTTCTCCAATGTAACAAGAAATAGGGTATGAGGAAATGGCCTCAAGTCACTCTAGGGGAGGTTTATATACTATATTAAGAAAAATTTAATCATGGGAAGGGTTGTCAAGCACTGGAACAGGCTGCTCAGGAGAGTGATGCAGTCACCATCCCTGGAGGTATTTAAAAGACATGTAGATGTGGCGCTTAGAGGCATGGTTTAGTGGTGGCCTTGGCAGTGTTGGGTTAGTGGTTGGATTCAGTTGATCCTAAAAGTCTTTTCCAGCCTGAAAAATTCTATGATTCTATGTTAGGATGTATGTAATTATTCAAAGTATGTTCTGAATCTTCTCTGCATAAATGCAAAACTTGTGTACTGCAGAGGGAAAATTAAGGACTGCTCAATAAGTTGGCACTGTGTGGGATTTTTAACATGACTTTGTTAAATGAAATCTCTAGCTATTTGGGGACTTTACTCAGTTTTTTGGCCCTTAAGACGAAATATTGAATGGGGAGCCTATAATTCTTGTGGAGTTTCTTAAGTGGAGTGATGTGGGGTGATGATGGTAGATGGAAGTGGAGCACTGTTGGCTGACCTTTGCTGTGTGCCTGTGCTTGCAGCAGTGGTGAGTGGAGTGCTGCGCACAGGGAAGCTCATTAGCTGTTTATCATGTCTGCACTTGCTCTCAATAGGATTAGATGACAGGGCTTTAAAATGTCAGCACCTTGTCAAAACTATTGCTCTGTGACTGCTTCTGCTGATGATGATGCAGGAAATTCTGTGTAAAAGTTCAGCACTGACGCAGTCTAACACATCGTTTGTCTTGTGCAGACACTATTTGTATTCTGAGATTGATATAATGGAGCTTATTTCTGTCTCCTGCCTTGTGCCATTTAGAGTCACTTGAGGCATCTAAGATATTGCAACAAACTGCATTGCTCAACTGGACCAGGCCAGTTAAGTCTGTGGATGAAAAGGAAATACTTCAATTGTGCTAGAATGCCAATTTCTAACTGCAGTATGTTGGACAACCAGACAGGATGCCCTAAGAAATGCTGTGGAGATGAGTGGGGTCTGTCCAAGCAGGCCAGCTTTAGATTACTGATGATTTAAGTAACAACATTTTTTGGGTATTGTATGAAGGATTTTAATTAGAATGCAAGCTAAAGGAACTATCTTCGTAATGAATTCAGTGTTTACTTGGCTTTAGTTTTTTTTTTTTTTCTTAGCTTTTAAACTCAAAATATGGAAATAACATACTCAGATTGTTCTACCTTTGTAAACACACATATATTTCTGAAATAATATCAAGGTACACAATATCAAGGATATAATATCAAAGTACTGTTCTGCATATCAGGAACAGTATAAGTAGAACACCTGTTTTTTTTTTTCTTGAGAAAGCTTAAAAACTGTAATTAAAATAGATGGCATATTTAATTTTAAGTTGGTTGTAGAAAGGAAAAGCTTTGTACTGCAGGAAGAAGGTATCATGAATTGTAAACGTCTCACCCAGGATGAGACCTAAATACACCTAAAACTTGAAAGGAAAGCTGACCATGAAGGAAGCAATCAGGTTTAGGCAAGATGGTGGGAAAACACAGTAACACAGGAACAGGATGTGACTGAAGAATTAATCTCTTGCTGTTGTAGGTGAGGGGTAAAATGCCAGAAATGGAAACAAAGTTTCCTGATTATACTGGAAAATTAACAGAATTTTCAGTGAATAAGGTTATGGTTATCAGATACAATTTTGTTAATTTCTTTCTTTCTGTTTTGTTATTTTCTGTTTCTCTGACTCATATCCCTCCTTGGTCAAACTGGTTTGATTTTTTTTTCATTCTGCAAGTTGCCCATTTGAAATTTGATACCTTCAGTTTGTTGCATTTTGCTGCCCTTTTATTATTTTTCCTAAGTTCTTCTAAGGAGAAGGAAAAAAACAGCGACTGCAAAGCCTCTCACTTTGTATTTTCTGCTGCAGTTTTTTGTATGTCCATACACAAAAATTAAAACAAACCTACAAACATGAATGCAAATTCTGACATGAGCAAACTGGGCATGCACTATGTGAGAATTGATTATCAGCTCATCCCTGAATGAGATGTAAATTCAGCAGGAGCAGTTCAGAGCAGCAGAGGTCCATGAGGGAAGCTATGTAGAGTCTTTTAAAGATGCATGCCATGGGTCAGCATGATCACAAAGATTCTGTTCCTGCTTCTCACTTAAGATCTAACTGTTCTAAAGTCCTGCTGTACTATTATGACAAATACTGTGGTTACTCACATGACAGCCCGAAACTAGTGATGTTGTTTGTCTTCTAATTCAGTTTCATAGCTGGCAAATGGAGGACACCTTGTTGTCTGGCTCAGGAATTTTTTTCAACCCTGCAGTTATTGACATTAGTGATTCACAGACCAGATCTCTCCAGCCTTTGCAGGAACCAAGTGCAGCTTGAACATAAGAGAAGTTAAAAAAACAATCTATGAAGCTTTTTTGTTTGTTTATTTAAAATCACACAGGAGAATGTGTCATAGAGGGACTCCATTCCAAGAAGAGACGGGGATAGCACATCATGGTTCGGTTTTTGTTTTGCAGTCGTGTGGGGAGAAATGGAGGTTGGCAAGTGGTGAAGTACCTTTGTGCCATCTCACAGATCTGTGTTTATGAGGACAAATGGCCACTATTGGTTCTTCTGATGTACTTATGAGTTGAGTCTGTTGCATAGAAACAACATCACCTCAAGAAGAACTTTCACTGTGTTTTGAACTGCAGAAGCTGTGTTGTGTTAGGTGCTCTTTCTTCTTTGATCATTAAACATCCTGGCTGAGTCAGAGCTTCCTTTCTTTGGTATCTTGAACACTTGCCCTCAAGGCTTCCAGCAGTGTAAAATTTGCTGTCTGACTGAATGACTTTTAAAATTCTGTATTAATTATGAAGGCAATTGGGGGTAGTCAGAGAGGTCAGGAAGACTACTTGTCACAGGAATAGTTTTTTTTAAGAACTTATGTAAAACATTGGGTGCTCTTCATAATTACTACATTTGGGGCTTGTGAGTTGGAATGAAATCCCAAACTTCAGAACAAAAACCTTGATTACAAAAGTAAGCATGGAACTTCAGGTCTCCTAGTAGAAGCAAAAGAAAAGTTTGTGAATTTCTCACGCACAATTATTCATCTGCAAAAAGGCCTATCATTTGTCATAAGTCCATTTGTTTTTAATAATAATATAAAAAAGGCTTGATTCCCTGCTCTCTGCAATGAGAGATTAAAATATTGTTTGCAGTTCTTTGAAGGGTTTTTATGCCTGTTTGGAGAAATAATTTAACTCTCACAGGCACCTGTCTGATAGGGAACTTATATTTGTTTCTGTAGTTTTTGGGGGAACTGACTAATCTTGATATTGCCTTTTTCCCTGAAGTGTGTATTCAACTTTAAACAAAGTGCAAACAATATTAACACTTCAGTACCTGCAATACATCGCTTCAACACATACAGCTAGAAAAGAATAGAACTTTTTGGTGGTTGTAGATGTGTCAAGTAGCAGCTGACTAATGAACAAAGCATTTGGGGCTTTAGAGAAGAAATTTACATTATTTTAATTATTGATATAATAGTAAACTGACTCAGCTTTTGAATTATTACTGAGTGAATAGAAACATGTGTTTTTCCAAATATGTGAGCTCATATAGACTTTTGTTCTAGTACTTTTATTTGTGTTTTTAATTAGTACTATTTTATAAAATCCATCCCTGACTGGAATTACTCTTTTAAGCCATTTTCACAACAGGATGTCCAGAGCATTCCTGTCTGTGAGGAGAGCTGGCTTTATCCTCTGTCAGTGTATGTTATAAAATTAACTTTTGACTTCATGCTCACAATCAGCAAAATGTTTTGATTGTTTCATAGCCTCAGTTTAAGTTTAATTACTAAAGTTTTTACCCCCTTTGCCAAGAAGAAGACCTCTGAATCTTAGGAATAGTTGTCAAGTATGCAGAGAACTTTAAAGGAGCAGATTAAGGTGTGAATTACCAGTTTCATCTTACTAGGACGCTGGCTTTGGTTTGTGTATTAATAGTTTCAACTGATGGTTACTTGTTTGCTTATTTCACTTGTTCTCCCCTTTATTCATCCATATGCTTCTAGAAACAAGTTCTTTAAGTTTACCATGCTCCCCATATTCTGCATAATTATTTCTCTGTTTGGGATTTCCACAAGACTATAACTTTTTTTTTTTTTTCCCCTGGATTATGGCAGGGATTTCTGTGTTTTGGTGGTGGGGTTTTTTTGTTTTTGTTATTGCTTTCTTTGTTTTTTGGAGCGGGAGGAGAAAGAAGGGAAGTTTTTTTTCCTGTGTTTGGAGTTTTTTAATGACAATGTAACTTGCAAACATGATAATAAGATAGAACCTTGTCGGTGCTGTTTTGGTTTTATAATGAATCAGCAAGCAGGTAGTTTCACATGACTTGGCCTGTAAATAACGTGCCCCACCTTTCATGCAGTGATCCTGGAAGAAGCTTGCTGGCTGTATCTTCCTACCATCTTTCTAGTGGCTGCTCTTGCCTGTGATTCCTGCTGCATGGCTTAGGGGAGGAGCTGGGTGAGAGAGCACAGGCTTTTGTCTATCTGCTTGTGTCCACACCATCAGCACAGGTTCCTCTCTAAACAAAAAGACAGACAGAAACAGGACAAAGGATAAAAGAAAATGAATTTGGGAAGAAATAGGGTGAGAAGCAGCTTATTTGAGAAGATGGCAGGTGGCACTGGCATTGCTAACCTTAACAACTGAGAAGCATGAAATCCTTTTGAACCTGTTTTGGAGCTGTTGAACTGAGATTTAAAGGAGGAAATGAAGTAGCAAAATTTCAGAAGGAAACTTTCACCTCTTATTTGATCTGTCATTCTGGGTGGAAGCTTCCATGCATGCATGGATGCATGCATATCTCAGGTAGAATTAGATTCTGTTTACCCTAATATGACTCCTGCAATTAAGTCATTTCAATTATTTACTCATTCTTTACATAGAACTAGCTTTTCCTCTGTCTTATGCATTCATTTGACTCTTGGACTGAGAGCTCCAATTACTTTTTTAAAAATTATTTTTTCATTTAAGAAACCAAATTTCTTGTTAAGTTTCTTAGGGTGACTGCTTTTTCTTCTTTCTCAGATCTTGCATATGTAGCTAAAGAAAAAGGTCTTGAATATCAGCTGGCAAAAAGTGCTCAAATTTTCAGGCAGAAAAATCTTTATTTGTAAATGCATACTCAGAAGATATCTCAGTGTAGCTATGTAGTTCTTGTGCAGAAAGTAATTTTTTTAAAACAGAAGGGAGCTGCTACACTGGGTCACTGTCACTTATCTAGTATAAGCCAGTTCTATAGAATAAATGTAATAAAATATCATAATACTTAAGCAGGTAACTTTTTACCTTGCATCTGTGATTTTAAGAGGTACTCGTAAAAATAACACAGTGTTTTTAATTGGTATTTTTGTCCATGTACTACAAAAAAACCCAAACCCATAAAAGGCAGTCTTACAAACTATTCTATTACTGGCAGCTCAATCCATGAATAAACTAATTTTGGAATAAATCCAAAACAAGAGCATAAGGGGAAAGGTATTGTTGGATGGTGTAGTGAAATGGGATGGGGTTTTTGACCTTGGGAATTATTTGCTGAAAATAGCGGATGTCCTACCATTAAGCTAAAACATAACATGTTTAAACATCCTTCTACCTGCACATGGAAATACCTTATTTCAAGGTCTTGGCTCATTGAAATATCATATTGTAGCTACTTCTGGAAGAAGAACTTATTTAAAAAAAATTAAAAATAAGAAAAAGTAAAATACTAATTTTTTTGCAAAATAGTCATGGACAGGATTTGTTAGCAGTCTGTTTGTGATGGTAACTTCAATTGAGGTTTGTAAGGCTTACTAAATAGGGGAGATAGATGCCCTAATTTTGAGAAGGTGACAGTAAATGGCAAATAGACTGTGTGCAGCACTCACATGGTGGTGTTAAACAAAGGGAAGGAGCGCAAGGCTGGAACTTGCCAGCTAGAATGGGATGGCAGGAGGAAGCAAAGGTCTATGTGTGTACATACGTATAAATATGCCCACATTAAAAAGTACAGAAAGATAAAAGAACAGAGGAGCCAAACAATGGAAAAGGACAAAACATGTATGAAGTAGTAATGTGGAGTGAGTTGAAAGTGGGAGATCTGACTGATTGAGGAGACTGTTTACCAAAAAGTTTGAGGGCTGATTTGATCTCTCTCAGAGCTGTGGAAAATGCCAAGTTGATTCTTCATATGTGATAGTCTTCTCCATAGATAGCAGAGGGAGATTCTCACAGATGTTGTCATGTTGAGTGCTGCTGTATGGCTTTTTCTGTGGTAGCTTACAGCTTATCCACAGAAAAAGCCAAAATTTCATAATAGGTTACTGGTCCTGTTACATCAGAAGGTAAGTCAGGGAAAGAGTGAGTGATGAAATCTACCTCTCTGCAGCCTGTGAAGTTATTTATCTTAAGAGATCCTGAGTAGCTTTTATCTAGTGTTTTTCTATTGCTCGTGCCCAGAATGCTTTACCTGAATTCTGTTGATTAAATTATGGTGTTTAATTGCCTTGCCAGCTCTGTGTTTGTGTTCTGGTTTGTGAACCGCAGTGTTGAGTGTGAGTTTGGTTGCTGCATATTTGTTCTGCTTTTCCCAGTGCTGCTGTAGAGTACTAGAAAGGAATTGCCATTCTGAGTTGCTTCTGCTCAAATACATATTTAAAAGGAAAAAAAAAAATAGGTCACATATCATGTTTTTGTGGTAGTAACGTGGAAAGCCTCCTACCCCTTGAGTTTTTTGGGATATTTCCACACTCATCTGTTATTCAAATCTATGTTCTCTTCTTTTTGATTTAGACTATTTCTTTGATCCAGGTGAAGTCTAAATTTGCTTCTTTCTGCATACTTCTGTAAGCTGAAGTCCTGACACTGTACAGGTCAGTTGAGGGTATTAAAATTATTCTAATGGAAGCAGGCTTCTACTTCTTGGTTACCCGTGGTTACAACCTCATTTTCTCACTGACAAAACTATTGTCTAATCCTGGCCCTCTTGCAGCATGATACCTATTAGCGTCTCTTGAAGTGAGGTCATCCCCTTAAAATGGCTCTGAATAGCTGTGCTAGAACCATCTCTGTCATGTGTCTGCTCCTTTAATGTCCTCTTTGGGCATTCTCTGTTCAGGGGTCAGATATACACAGCATTGAGTTTGTCTCTACAACTTTTTTTAGCTTAGTACTGCTGTGGCTGTTTGTTCCAGCTTTGTTTCTGCCTTTTTTTCCACCAACAGTGCCAGCTTCAGCTTTCTGCTATGAACTTTTCTCACATGCTTCCCCCAAATCTGCTCTCTGCACATAAAGATAAACTGACAACCTGTGAAATCTCTGAACAGTCAAACTGTTTTTTTAGATCTCACCTTAGTTGTAATGTCACTGTTGAGTCAGAGATGATACATGATCAGAAGGTAAAGTGGCAAAAGCCTTGTTTAGTTCATCCTCTCTTCTTCTATAGCTCAGTTTGCTACAGGTGGACCTGATTGGTCATTTAATCAATACATTTCACATGATTAGCTAATTAAAAAGATACCCATTTGTGTCTTGTTAAGCAATCCTATTGAAAACCGGATTATTAGAAAAACACCACCTGCAGGTTGTTTTAATATTTGGCTGTCACTGTTTATCTCCAGCTCCCTAAAGCTTCCCAGGCCAATTCTGGGAAAACTTATCTAGCTTTCTCTTTCTCCAGGCTGTCACATTCACAGTAATGCATAATAAAACCACCATCTACTATAAGTAGGTCGTTAGAGAGAATTGTGGCAGGTAGCTGTAGATGGCATAACAATCTGGTATAAACGACATTTGTTATCCCATCTTTTATTCCCTTTGCAGCACACCAACTCCTTTTGTCTCCCTGCACACCTTAATTTCAGAGTGTAAGTTCTTTTGGATAGAGCAGTTATTCATGTATTCATAGAATCACAGAACAGTTAGGGTTGGAAGGGGCCTCTAGAGATGACCTAGTCCAACCCTTCTGCCAAAGCAGGATCACCTGTTAGTCTTCGTATTGGACATCACAATCCTGTCTGGTTTGTTTATTTGCTTATTTATTTATTTATTTGGTCTGGAGAGATTTGTAACAACATATGCTTTGTCTTGAATGTGAATTTCACCAAACCTGCATATTTTAAGGAGCCTGATTCTCACAAAATGGAGAAGTGGGAAGCTCAGTTTTAAACAAGTATCTACTCCAAGTCCTCCTGGACAGGGTTGCTCTCGATCTGTTCATCCCCCAGCCTGTGCTGATACTGGGGATCCCCTGACCCCAGTGCAGCACCTTGCACTTGGTCATGTTAAACTTCATGGGATTCCCATGGACACAACTTCTCAAGCTTGTCCTAGTCCCTCTGGGTGGCATCCCATCCTTCAGGTGCATCAACTGCACCACTCGGCTCATTGTCATCTCTAAATGTGCTGAGGGTGCTTTTGATCCCACTCTCTGTGACATTAATGTAGATATTAAACTATACTGGTCCAAGTGTGAGCCCTTGGAAACATTGTGGGGAGCTGATCTTCAGTATGGTTCTGAGAATACCATGATGCTTTATATAGAAATTACAGAAGGTTCTGCATGAAAAATGCAGATGGAGTAAAAACTTGAACATGTTTGTCTGTATGCTTGGTCTGACTTTAATGCTTCAGAAACGTGCTATGTTAGATTGTGTTTCAGTGTTATTTTTGGGTTATGTTAATTTTCACTTTTTGCTGGTAACCTTCAAATAGTCTCACTTAAAAGGTTTCCTAAAAACTAAATAATTGTAAGCATGGATTATTGCTGGAAAGTTGGAAGCATGAGCTTGTTTCTGCTGTTTTTGCAGGACTTCAAGAATATGTTGAGGCAGTTTCGTTTCAGTATTTTATCAAAACGCGATCTTTGATCAGTGTTGAAGAGATCAACAAACAACTAATATTTACAGCAGAAGACAGAGAAGAAACAACAAACATGGTAAAAGTTTTTCTTTTCTCAATGGACAAACATCTTTCTGGGATAGAAATGCAGTGAGAAGGCTTAGTCACATTTTTGGCATCTGATTAAATAAGACCAGTTAGTGGAATGGATTAGATAGACATGTTCAAAACATGCCTTTTATTCTGATAAGTAGTAAACTAAATCTGTGGGATACAAGTTTATAAATTTCACATCCTTTTTATTCAGGGCAAACTGAACTCTTTCTGATATGGCAAAAGATCCAGGACAGTGAAATGCTGGCTAACAAACTACATTTGTACATAGTAACAAACTACAGAGAGATTTTTAGTGCCTGGGGCTGTCTCTAAGACCTTCTGGTGTATAGTGATGTTGCAGAAGTTGGAGGACACAAACAAGTCCAAGGCAGGATGAACTCCATGACTGAAATCTTATTGAACTAGTCACTGGAGGCACTGTATTTGACTTGTGCATATGCCTTAGCTGCATCATTTGTAACTCCCCTGGAGCTGATTCCTTTCAGAGGACAGACTGGTGTCCCATCATACCTTAGCCCTAATGCAGTATCTGCTTGACTTGACTTGTCTGTACTCCTAGCCTGCCCTAAATGGCTCATAGGGACA